AGTGTTAAGGTCTTGAGTTTGGTAGCGTCAGGTCGTGTATTCGATACCCTGCCATGGCAATGATAGTGTGTTACTATATACAAACTCAGGTTTGCTTTGTTGCACGGAGTTGCTGCATTTTTTCTTACCGAAGAATTTTTAAAGCTAGCTACAATTTTACTGTTTCTAATGCAATTGTCAACTCCAAGTGGACTATCATTGATTCGGCTGCATCTTAGTTCATCTTAGCTTTGGAATAACTTTCAGTTAAGTTCAAAATCAAACTGCCTTAACGTCATTGTCAATTATGTTCGTTCATATCTTTTTGAAGTGCTCAGATAAGAGGGCAAATTTGAGCCCCTTTTCTATGCAAGGTAAAAATTCAGTCTATTGCCCGCCCTCTCAGCTGAAAATGTTATCTTGAAGCTGACTGGAACTGGCATCATAAATACAGTTTTTGCACCAATTTTATTCACTTGAGCCCCGGATTTGAAGGATAAAGCGAAGAAGAGTTTCCCCTAAAGAGCTCAGCAGCTCTTTTTTCACCGTGTTGTAAATACTCTGTTGAAATAAATGAATAGATGCTGGCAACGCATTTAGCTTTTAAAAATGGTATTTCAGTCATAGAGCTATAAAAATCCGTTATAAAAATCTTTACGCGTGCGTCGTTGACATATAGCTTTTTCATCAATTTTTGCCCAGGTTGTATTTTAGTCAAGCCACTGACGTAATTTAATAGAGAAGTGTCATGCAAATGTGATAGACTTTCTTTTCGAGCGGCTTCACTGAATTTGTTATTGGACTCTTATTCAACTTCCAGCATGGTCTGAAATAGAAGACCTTGCATACGTCATAAAATGTCACAAAACTGGGGTGCCTGAAGGCTTGTGCCTTGGCTATTTCTTTCTGCTGCAAGCCGGTCTCTGGATTTTGGCTTCCCTTTAGCTCGTTTGTAGTTAAATCCTTTATCGCTCCGTTATTTCCGCCAGAAAATGTATGTTAATCGCATAAATTCCCTCGCTTACTTTGTTTCAGTTTGTTGATAAATAGCATTAGCCACCAGGTTGAAATTTGTCGAAATGACTTTTTTGATTATTCACTTACCGTACCTGCCGGCAAAAAATTTGAAGCTCATGCATATGGCTGAAATTAATTTGAACGTTCTAATCTGAACTGTTCAATTATTGCTTCAGCCTATTTTCGCAATAACAAATTTTAAAAAATGAGGTAGAAATGGATCTGGTGCTTTTGGTAACATCGAGACGGCTGATCAATAGAGGCATTTTGATCACAAGCGATTCGGAAAGGTGTCTTCACTAGTATTTTGACTTCAGAACCGAGCGGTGTCTGGCAATCCGTAGCAGAATTTTTCCAACCAAAGTTTCTGAAGAGGTTTGTTAAACTTGCGAGATAAAACGATCACAACGGGTTAGAAACTTAAGCTCACAGAATGGTGAAATTTATTTTGGCAAACTGGCTTATTATTCTTTCGGAATGCGATTTTTTGTTGTTTCGGCTGCCGAAATTTGGGAGGAATTTTCTTCATTTTCTTTGGGTGTTTTAATTTTTACTCGAAAAATCGGGTACCTTAAATAATTATCAAAATAGGTCGTATGATATATCACATTAAAGCCATTACAGTTGTGATTCGAAATTTTTTTTATACATTTCTATATTTTTCGCAATTTTGAGAAAAAATGGTATTAAACTATTGCTTTTTACTCTAAATTTGAGCAAGTTAACGAAGGAGTAGAAAGCGTAAAGCATTTTTTAAGGTAATGAATTTTATAAATATAAATATAATGAATTTTTAGCTTAAACCAGCAGTTTTGAAGTTTCTTTCAGAACTTGCCAAGCACGAAAAAGTTTTTAAGAAGTTTTACTGGATCAAATTAGAATTTTGACTTGATGTTTGCTGAATTGTAGGTTAGTCACTGAATGATTTAGATAACTGAAATCAGTAGAAATTTTTCCAGGCCAAGTTTTGTATCTCTACTCCCTAAAAGCTGGAAAACATAGTGTTGGGCCATTTTTTGTAACTGTGGTCGGAACCTTTACTGCTACTTGCTCAGGGAGAACTGGCTATCCCTGTTTGTATTCCTGTTTTTGCAGCATTGCACTTGTTATGTAAGAGATATGCCAATTTCTGATTTTTCGTAAATAAATTTTTTCAACAAAAGTTTGAATCCTTTATGAGAATCAGATTTTAATCAGATTTGTTTGCTGTGAAAGATAAGTTTTTTTTGTAAGAGTCACGCTAAACAGTCAATGAATGAATGTATTCTGGTCGCGTTATCAATTAGAAATCTCATAATTTTTTCATAAAATTTATAGTTTTGATCTTATATCTGTTCTACCTTTCTTTCATGCCCACGTGATAAGTTAGTCTTAAACTTAATTTCATTACATAAATAGCCCATGTTGATTGAAATATCGAATTATGAAACGGGGCCTAATTCGAGGTACATTTTTAGTTTTCTTGTTGTTTTTAATTTAGCGAGCTACAAAACGACATTCACTTCGATTGTTTCGACCATTTGAAAAATGGGGACGAACTTTGTATTCGGGTGTCTTAGGTTTTTTCTTGCTTTTTTTGTTTTCCTCGCAAAATCAGCTACCATAAATAATCATAGGAGAAAGCTGAGTGATATCATATTAAAACCCTTACAGTCGTGATTCGAACGAAATTTAAAAATGTCAAAAAAAATTCCCAGTGTCGAGAAAAAACGGTTTGAAGTTTTTGGCCTTTCGTACTTGTTCGAGCGAGCGAGCAGTCTTACGCTTATTTTTAATGTCTTAAAAGCTCAAAACGTTATAAGGAGAGCCGGTGATAAACGCATAAACGCAAGACGGCCATAGTCTTAAAAAAAACTACATACAAAGTTTTTTTTAAAATTATTTTAGTTTTTTCTGCGTGGTGTGATAAGTGATCTGATGTAGAACTATAATTTAGGAATGATCGGCAGTCGTAGTAGAAATAGGCTAACTCGACAATTTTTTTTTGAAAATTGACTAGAAAAACAAATTTAGAAAAAAAACAAATTTCAAATTTTTTTAATTCGATTTTTTTTTTTAAATGGAGCTAAAATCTCCAAAAACTAATTTTACTTGCTTAAAATTAAGTTTTTAGGCCTTAAATTAGGCATCATTAAGCTGAGGTAAGACTGCTCGCTGGCCTATTTTGCTCGAAATAAGACGAAAACCAAAAATTTCAAACGGATTTTTCTCGACACTGGTATATATCACTCAACCCAGTCAGATGATTATTTGTGGTGCCTGATTTTTGGTGGACAACAAAAAGAAAGAAAAACTAAAACAGACCCGAATACAAAGTTTCTCCCTATTTCCAAGGTCGGAACAAAACTGAGTTTTACTCGAGTAACGTTAGTGCGCCTTTTTATAACGTTCTCGTCATTTCTCCACAAAAATTGTTTTTCAATTTGCATACTATGAATGCATAACATGCCTAATCTCTAATTTTTCGTTCATATCTTTTTACCCCAGGCCGAAAACAAACGACACTTATTTTTCTAAGACTATGATCGGAACATTCTGTGCTAATTGAAGAGTAACGAGCCAATCTTGTTTTGTTTTGGTTTTTCAATTTTTTAGCAGAAAAAGGAAGCATTAAAGATATCATCATATGCATGAATAGATTTGCGTTGTCATCTGCGTTTTATTGACATTATTTTGCAACAGTTTGTAATTATAGTTTCTGTTTTTTAATTTCCTAACATCTGTTTTGTCTAATGGGAAACATTTTCTGGTTCGCGCGTTTAGATCAATTGACTTGAGTTATTTTCAATTTCTTAATCGATTTTTTATGAATTTTTTAGAATGGTCTTTTTTGATTATGGTAAAAAGAACTGCATAACCCATTTTAGCTTATAAATGTGGCTCGATCAATGAAATTTTTTAATATTGGATTAACTTGGTGATTCAAAACATAATTTTAATTTGTCAATAACCCTTTCTTAATTGAACGCTGATTTTATCGCAGCGCCTTCTGTTTTTCCTTCTCCATTCAGTTTTATTAATACAGTTCTCAAATACAGACTTATACCATTTTTACTTCGCCGGTTTGTTTTGGTTCACAACTTCAGGTCATTTGGTCAAATGGTCTCATGCGGCGTTAAATTTTTGTCCAATGAAAAGCTTGGCAATACACGTCATAGTTGCACACCGACCGGCCAATTTGTAACACCACTTCACTTGTTAGATCAAATTAAAGAAAGGAGTTATTGTTCAAGAACAAACTTGAGTTTTATCGTTGGTATGTTTTAGTCTTGATACCAAGTCTCTTGTGAAAGTTTTGCCATCCAGACTTCATTTTATAAAATAGTTGTAGTAATAAAGACGACTATGGTTTGTAACTTCAAGCATTTAATTAAATTCCATCGCGGTTGCTCATTGTTAGTTTTTACTCTGCATATCTGAAGGTACTTCGACCACTGAGGCAATTTTTCTGCACCTTCTTTTTAAGTCATCAGAATTACTACTGGTCTTTACGCTTGCGAATACCTGCTTCTAATTGCCAATTATCATTTTTTGTGCACTAAATGCATTTAACTTGAGCCTCTTTTAACACAACGCCGATTATAATTCAAATTCGTAGCCATATTACTACTAGTTTTACGTTTTACTTTAAAACTCGTTTGAGCTTGAAATTCAAATTGGCAATCAAAATTAGTTAAACAATTCTTTTAATTGGAAATTTCAAGTCTGGACTATTCACCGTAAAAAAAATTACCAGATTATTCAAGTTCTTCTTGGCCAAGAGAAAAGTTCGATATATTAGTTAAGCAATTTTTTTCTGGATTATTATTCGCAACCCTTTCTTTTCAGAGATATAAATAGCTGATGAGCCTTAACAGTTCATCGCATTGCATTGCGATTGGCTCACGAGATTAGTTAGTTTTGTCTCTGGTTTACTAAATTGATCTTAAAGAAACTCGATCTGTCCTGCCTGAGCGTGGAAAGATGACTTCAATTTTGAGCAATATTGGTGTAAATTTTTCCAGAAAGTCAGCTGCCAAGAAAGCAGCTGCAAACACAAACCAAACTGGTGGGGGAGGATCTCATAGTCCGAACTGCGGGGCAGGCGGAGGGGGGACATACTCGCCCCTGGGTACTAGTCCGACGACCAACAGTCTACTGTCTAGCTTTACATCGTCCAATCTTAGTCACCAACCTCAGAGGCAACAGGAAACCAACAACAATTCTCACTGTTTTACACACAAGGGCGAGTCGCTACAGTCGGACCAGCACTCAACAGCTGGACATCACCCTCAAGTCGCCAATTTTAACATATCTTCCTTTCCACATTCTCTCGTGGGTGCGCTTCGTGGATCCGCGAACACGACCCCAGGCAGCGAGTCGTCGCCGAACGAAAGCGCGGATGAGTTGAACTGCAGCGGGATCTCCTCGGCGACGATGGGGCTTGGCTTCGGAGGCGGCGCTGGAGGCAATCATCCGGCCTACTTAGCCAGCTGCGCGACGCTGGAGCGAACTCGCAGATATCAAGAGTGCAAAATTATGGTGCAATTACCTCGTGGCTTCGACCGCCTTGAGTGGCTAGCTTACCACGGTATGTTCTGCTCTTTGTTCATTGTTTTCGTATTTTTTTCATCAAAATTCATGTTTTGAGCACGGTTCCTTGTTTTTTTTACAAGTAGAAACTGTTCATAACAGAGACGTGGGTCGGGGGGGAAGGTTAGGTAGTTGGCTGATTTTGAACCATATGACTGATGTTCGTGTTTCAAACGTTCGCGAGATCTTCTGTGCCTAATGTTAATAACCTGTAAGATATTTCTTTAAATATGAGGCATTATATAACTGTTTGGCTTAAACAAAATCAGCAGCTCCTTTGATAACTTTTGCGATGTGTTGCGTTGGCGCAATGGTCCCATGGGAAAATGGGAGTAGTTCAATCTCATGTGTTAATGAAAATAAGTTGCTTTTCAAAAACAGAGCTATGAATCTTCCATCAAAGGTCTTTGACCGGAAAAACTCGCCAGATGTCCGTTTTCACAAGACAATTCATTATAAATGGGAATAACCAGCGGCTTCTTTGTTCTACTTTCTTTGTTAAATTTTTTTTATCAGCTTTAGTGCTTACATTGCACATATGTTCTATTTGTGTCAGCATCTGCTTTTGTGGATTCAGTGTTATATTGTTTTGAGAGTCATAAGCGTTGAAAATACTGTAGTATTCTTGTTTTTCATGAAAAGTTTTATTAGGAAGCTAAATTATTTTTTTTTCCAAGTGAGCGTTAACCATGCAAGGGCTATACTTTTAGGGTCTACTAACGCTGAAAGTTTCCGAAGAAGTGTCAGAGTATGTGCCGAATCAGCTTCAAGCTATATTTATTTCTTACGAGTTCTTAAAAGATTGCTCCTAAAAATAGAGCAAAACTGAACTGGGGTAAATTGTCTTGCCGAAGGGGCAAAAAATGAAAAATATCCGCTGTTTTGAGTGCTAGCTTTTAATATTATATATATTATATGTAAGAAATTTTAAAATAATAAGGCTGGGGTTGCATGTCATTTTTTCCTTGCACAATTTTAAGCAGAACAAGATGGACAATTTTAATCAAACTTGATCTGATGTGAAATTTGGAAGCATTTTTGAAGGGATTGTTTTCTTGAAATGCAATTTTGAAAGTAAAGGCTACTGAACTTATGAAATTGCGGTATGATCCCCATTCTAATTGAGTTCTTTTGTCATGAGAATTTACTACAGTTTGTGATGACCAAATATAAGTAGCAGCTTTCAAATTGCACTTTTGGGAACAAGAATCATATGGTATAGCTTGAACCTGTTCAATCTTGAATCTATGAACTCAAAAAATGTTATCTTCTAGCGCAGTCTTGAGACCACGTGTTTGATGCGGAACCTTTGAATAGTTTATCCTTCGAATGAAGCGATACGATATTCAATGTTCCGTAACGTCACATGATGAGTTCATTTTCATCTTTGTGAAATTGACGGAATAATTAGGAAGGAAGTAATCGTCAACTCTAGACAGCACTGTGCTGAAAACTAAAAAGAAATCAGCAAGTTCAATTTTTCCCACTGTGAATGCATTAACTTACTTCCTTTGCAGTTTTTGATAATAATCTCGAAATGAAGTTGAGTCAGCTTAGCGGGTGTTGTTTATATTTAGAAGCAATAATGATTTCACCTTTGGTAATATATTTCTTAAAAGGGAATATATTCTTGAGCGGCTGTTTGTTGTTAATTGAAGGTTGAAATGGTTAACTTTCGATGAACGCTTTCTACCCGGCATCAGATTCAAGTATGCTGAAAAAAAATTTAATAATGAAATCTTTTTTGACACTCATTTGTACATGACATGCAAGGTGGTGATTTATTGCTAAAAAGGAACATCGAATGAAGGAGAAAATACTATTACCCTCTATTGCCAAAAATTTTCTTCACCGCTGGCGATGTTTTTCAAGAAAAGGCCAAAAACGGGAAACTGGAAAAGTTTGGCAACCAAAATTGAGGGACGGGGAGACAGCCGCCCCCTCCCCCCTCGACACGCTACTGATTGTGAGATAATAATCCGCTGGGTGTTTTTGCGTGACTAAATACAAGTGGCGATAAGCGTACTCTTGCTGAGATATAAATCACATAGTGTTTATGAGTTGGGGTGAGTTTGTTGAATGAATTTGCCACATTCATAATTTGCATGTAGGTACGGGTGACCGTAACTTAAGCATAAAGATAAAATGGCATAAAAATTTGAACCTTTTGAAAATAAGTTCAATTACATATTAGCCAATCAGTTTTGTCGACCCTAATACTAGCCAAAATATTGTGCCTATTTATCACTTTATTTTATATCAGAAATTTTGCTTGTAAATGTGCACAACAAAAGAAAAAGTTTCAAAAAGTAGTGAAAATGAATAAATAGTCATTCATCTGTCACTCAATGGCCATGTATAAATGTTCCTCCAGTTCTTTCAAAACCACGATATCAATTATTCTTCCATAAATGCACATTTACTTAAAAAAGCACGCGATTGCCTAAAAATAAAACTTTCAAAAATAAAGCTTTTCTGTTTTTTTTTGTTTCAAAAAATAGTAAAATTTGGAAGTAGTCATGCATCTGCTACTCAATGGCCATGATAAAATGTTCCTCGAGCTCTTTCAGGACGACGATATTAAATGTTCTTCCAGAACTGCAAATTTAGTTACAAAAAGCACTTGATAACACAAAATTAAAGCTTGCAAAAGCTTATGCTATTTTATCTAGATGCTATTTTATACAGCCCTTGTAGGCACGTTTCTAAATTTGGGGGATGTAAATTTTACTGAATTAGGAAACGCTTCTTCGTTGAAGCGTGTGTGATTTTAATTGAATTGTTTGTGTGTTGCAGCGACATTCCTCGTGCGCTTTGTCGGCATGTTCTGGCTGAGCAACCACCTCTCTCAACATTGCCAATGTACCAATCTATCAGCACCGCCCAACAACTCGTGAGTCATCTATCATTCATCTCTCTCTCTCTCTCTCTCTCTCTGCATGCATTGTTTGCGCGACTCATTTATTTGTCCATTCAATTATTTGCCCTTTATTATTCCGATCCGACCACTTCACGGTTTTTTAAGTATTCTTTACATCGCGTTGGTGGGAACATACTGTGCTACTTGCACACTCTAACCAGTGGATTTTATTTTGTCATGTACCAACACTCGAATGAATCTTTATAAAAGGCTTCTTTCATTTCATTGCATTAATTTTAAGCAGAATATTTTTTCGAAATTTGTCATTAAAGTGACTTTTTTTAAGTTAATATTGATCAGAATGAGAATATGATTTAAAAATAGTGTTTCTAGTGTATGGACGATGACAGATGAGCGGACAGGGAAGAAAAGTGGACACAAATCAGCCATAGACGCCAAGACGGCCATAGAGAACTCTCTCAAGAATCTAGAGAAGATATTAGACAACGAGGACCTGTTCCCATCAAAATATGGTAAGATTGTATTAAAAGGAATGTGACTTAATTGAAGCGCTAGCTTTTTGTATTTTAATTGACAATTTTTGTAATGTTTTGAGCCTGCGAAATTTCGGGATTCGGCTTGGGTTCAAAGTTAACCTCAAACTTCAAATTTATTTTTCCGACCATTGAAAATGGGGAGGAACTTTGTAGTCGGGTGTTTTAGTTTTTTTTGTTACCAGCGGAAAATTCTATAAAACAATCATTGGAATGGGTCGATTGATATCATTTTAAATTCGAACGACACAAAATTCGAAAAATTGTCCCAATTTTGAGAAACACTGGTTGGAAGTTTTGAGATTTAGTCTAATTTCGAGTGAGTAACGCGATCGAGTAACGTTCGTTATAAGGAAATTTAATCTTTTAATGTTTTTTTAGACTCGCAAAGTTTGAATTTACTTATGAAAAACTAGTTTTGGATGTTTCAATTAGCGCTTATTTAAAAAAATATATACAAAAAATTAGAAATTGCTTAAACAATTTTTAAAGTTTTCTTGCCAATTTTTGTTTGCTATTCATTTTTTTTGCAGAAAAATGGTATCGATCTTGCCTAATTCACTAATTTTGTATGCGTTTGTTCAGTTCTCGAATCTCACCACGCACTAAAACGACACTAATTTAAAGAAAAAAAAACTTTAAGTTTTTTTTTCATCAGAACATTGTGTGCTAGTTGCACAGTAACCGGCTATCCGGGTTACTTTTTGTTAACACTGACCCATGGCGAAAAGTTCAAAAAAAAGTTAAGGTGATTCATTGGGTTAAGAAATAACAGAGTACAAGCGTGTTTCTCTACTAACCGGTTAAATTTTTTTTGATATATTCAAGTTTTCCTATAAAATCAAATCTACCAATAACTAAGTCAGATAAACATACAAATTTTAAGCGGTTTGGAAAATTCTATCGATGAACTTGCGACACCCGTGTGACTTTTCCTGTTGCTACGTCACTTAAATGACCGATTGGTTGAATAAATGAAATCAAGGCCTCATTGTTGACCGTTGCCTAAATAAATGTCGTTTTTATCGTTCGATCAAGTATAAATTGATGTCAAGTTATTTGCGACTACGTGGAACCTCAATTATACTGTTCCTGTTGTAAAACTGGCGCCCACATTAGATTTAACTGAGGTCAAGTTGTAAATGATACTAAGACGATTTATCCACAAGGGAAAGGACCAACATACGATATGACCTGCTATTATCTGATGTGAGAATGGTTGATTCAAAAAAGATCAAGTTTGAAGGAAAAAACGAGGTTAAGTAACTGAGAACAAGTTAATTGGTTCAGAGTATCTTCAGTGGTATTTTTGGCTTCAGTCAGAATGATTTTCAGGATTTTTTTGTAACCTTGTTCGTTGTGAAAAACATAATTCAGCTGTAGATCTTTCTGCATTATGGCACACGCATGTATGAAAATAATTAGGACAAGTGGCGAAAATTTGGCAAATTAAAATTTAGTGTGAAGTTTAGGGGCGGAGCTAGGATTTTCTTAAGGAGGTGTGGGTGGATTTTCAAACACGTTTTTAGGTCTGCCAAATTGATTTCCGATCTCTCAAAACATCATAAAGAACCAATTTTGAGGAATTTTTCTGCGCCGCAAGCAATTTTATGAAAAAAAGGCCAAAAAGGTTTCTGGATGGTATTGATAAACCGTTGTAGCGCGCGGTCCTTTTTCAGGATTATTATAAATATTGGCGCCGAATGCTCTCTAGAAGTTTTTTTAGGATCGGTTACCCGGAAATGGATGTAGTAAAATAGAACGAAAGTAATTTCTTGAGTAATGATCAAATTATGTTATGATAATTGTGAACATCAGTCTCAAAAGTATGACTAGTTTTAATGTTCAGGCAACCAGTTCAACAACGACTTTGAGAATCTGGTGAAGCGCAGCTGCAGATCTCTGTTCTGCATTCTCACCCACCTGTTGCACGCACACTTCCACAGTCTAGTGGAGAAGAAGGTGGACGCATCCACGATCGACCTCTTCTCCTACCTCATCACATTCGCACGCCAGTTCACTCTCATCGACAAAAAGGACTTCGCGGCCGCCGAACAGATCGAACAAGTGCTCAACCAGCTACATAACTAGCTTCATACAACTCTAGTCTGAAACGACCCGAACGGAACCAAAGAATCAAACCAGACGTGACCCAGAACACGATGAACGATTATTAGTGCACTGTAACAAATTACTGCACTAATGTATCAATTTTGAATGCACTGGTTTGATCAAATGTGTCGAAAACATGAGCACGAAAAGACAATACAAATGCCAAATACTGTGACTTAGCAAGCATCTTTTTTGATAGGTTGATGTTTTGGTCAGCCTGATGAAATGATGCAAACTATTCCATTTCAACTCAACTGAGCAACAAAAACTGAAACTTAGAATAAGTTATTTAGAAAAGTTGTATATTTTGTGAGTTTAAATTGACACACACTGCCTGGTCGTATTGTGCACTTTGGTTGCATATTTGAAAATGAACTTCTTCGACCAGGCAGTAAAAATCACCAGTTGTACATTTCACGTTTCTTCAGAGGTTGATTTAATAGTTACAGAATAGTTTCTTTTGTTGAATTCAAGTAGTAAATTACTCCCATTACTTCCTTACTTTCCATATAACTGTAAAATACACCATTCGTGTGCCCAGTTGGCAAATTTTGCCAAAATTTGAGTCGAGCAGTACAAAAACGAAGGAAAAGCCACTGATTATTCTTAAGACTGTTTTCTGTAGTTACCGTCATGATAAAATTTTGTTTCAAAGTCTTTCCAGGTTGTTGTTTGTCAGCAAGTTCTTTATGAAATAATTTCCATCAAGTGTTTTTGTCCATGTCAAGAAACAGTTTTTGAAAGTTCGCCTTAAAATTAGTTGTTTCTTGTTTGGAAGGCCGCTTAAATTGGTGCTACCGCTACTAAGTTATAACTAATTGTTAAATTATGTAATGAAAATGTTGAGTTGGTATGGTGTGTTATCTGGACTGCGTAGAAAAGACAGGAGTTTTGATGGTGCATTTTCCTACCACCCTTTTCCTTCTCCCAGTGTGTATATTCACTTTTCTCTACACAATGAGACTCAAAAACGGTGCTGTTAACAATTGATCAATCTAAAATATAATCTCTAGCTCACAATTTACCTTCTACATCACTCTCTTTCAAAGAGAAGAAAGGTAGTTGAAAGTGAGACAAAGCGAAGCATAGATAGTTTTCTGGTTTCAGAGAGAGAAAGCTGATAAAATCTAGCAGCGTGTCATTCAACTATTAGCTCTTTTATGACATAATAGAGCATTTTTGTTCCGACTCTCGAAGAAAGTGAGGATATTTATGCTTGGAGTGTTTTTTATTCAGTCAATTTTCACTTAACTAAGCTGTTTTGACAGAAATTTTTATTCCATCTGAAAGATAATGTTGTCTGGAGCTCATAGCAGGACTGCAGGTTGCGCTCTCCAATGCAAATGGCTCCAAAACACGTCTGACTTATAGACAACTACTACCGATTGACCCATATTACTCTAAATGTGTTCGTTTTACGTTAAAATGCCAATCTTAACACTCCGAACCTTGAAATATGAAACAGCCGGTATAGTTATCAGATACATATTTTTTTCGCTATAGTTACCGTTACGATAATTTTGTTCGATATTTTTTAGGTTACCGAAAATTTTACTAAAGGGTTTCTTTTTGATAACTGAGGGGAAAAGTTTCTAAGAAATGTCGTTTAACTTTAATTGTGATTTATAATTTTGGCAGCTTGTTTTTTGTTTTTAAATAGATGTAAGTTTTAGAGATGCAATTTTTTACATTTCAGCCCAGCAAGCTTGAAAAATTGAAATTTTTTTGGAAAGCATTTTCTTACTCACAAACAAGTGCTTTATAAAATCAGTTCAAGTTGTCCCAATCTAACTTGCAGAAAGAAGTGTTTTTCAGCTCTAAGTTGCATGCATTTTAGCTGCAGTTTAAGCATGTAAAGTATTTGCTCTATTAGAGCGTCTCGTTCTTACTATAAGATTTTCTGCAAACTATATAGGTCACTAGGCTCATTCAGAAAGAGTAGGATTCATAATTGCTAAGTCGGCTGTTTTTTTTTCAAACTTTATTTATTTTGGCTTTGTAATTTGCGTTTTACTTGCATTTCTTGAAAACTCTGAACGCAGTGAGTACTCTTATGTAGGTCTTGGTGATTTTTTGTTTTGCTTTTTTCAGGAAAAAGTCTTAAAATTTTTTCATGCTTAATTTTGATTTTTCGTCTTGTTGGTTTCTATTGTTTCTATTGCAAACTCCACTATCGAACAGCAAAGGTGGAAAAGTCACGAAAAACGTGATCGACTTCTAGTCTCGAAAGTGGAATTAAATTATCAATTTTCTCAGCTGTTTATATTGCTGTTTATATTGATCCAGTCTTCTCAAATTTGGTCAATTTCACGAAAAAATTGTCAATAATAAATTGTTCTGGTAATTGAAGGAAGTTTTTCAAGCCATCTATTTTTTCTTCGAAATTTGAAGGCTGAGATTTTTTCAAAAAAACCAGTCTAATTTTTTGTTATTTAGCGTCTTTTACTCTTTTCCAACTGTTTGTTGGCTATGTTTTTATATAATAGTTTTTCTCAAGAACGATATGTTTTTTGTGGAAAAGCGGAAAGAATACCCAAATATTTAGCTGCAACTATAACTCTAACCCGGAATAGTTGAATCAGTCTCGCGCTGTAGTTCAGTTTTCATAATTAAAACTTCATGGACAGATTTTTCGTTTTTTTTTCTGAAGCGAAATCATAAGATTAAGTTAAGTTAATCATAGTGTTTAATTGGGAAATTTTTTAGATTTTTCTAAGAAAAATTCGGAAAGGTGGGTTGTCGTTTTTCTTTCGTTTCGTATAGCTACATGTTACTTTGAATTATATAGGGTTGAAAACTCAAACTGTACGCTAAGATTGTATCTGTTCTCTTTAAGCTAAGATTGTATCTAATCTATTTATTTGTATAGCTACCTGTTACTATGAACGACATTAGGGTTAAACTTAGACTATAAACTATCTAGAATCTAGAAATCAGCTAGGACCCTCGAATCAGTCTCAAAGATTTTAAATGCATAATTGCGTAGTCGCTCAATCTGATTTTTTCAAAATTTTTCGATTTTTTTTGAATTTTACTGGCATTTGGAAAGCATTTTCAAAGCTTTTTTTTGCCATTTTTGTTGCAACTTCGTCTTGGCGTTGCCAATTAACCATGAAATAATATATCTGTTCATAGATCATTCTTTAGAGAAATGAGCTGAATATGATAATTTCTCTAACCTTTCACAAAGGGAAGTTCTGTGTTTTGATGAAATAGATCCGAGTTTTGCAAAAAAATGAGTTGTCATCATTTTGTGGTTTATTTACTTACAGCTGTCTGTTACTAAACCAAGGTAGAAGGATGAAATGTTGGGTATAAATTATTGAACCTGATCTTTTTTTTGATAACTTTGAAATTTAATAGTTTTTAGGTTAAGATGGTTTCATTGAATTTGTTGCAGCTGCTTCTCCGTGGATCATTTATTAGTTTTGCCCATTTCAAAAAAATTTACGAGACTCAATATACTTGTGCAAATGAAACATGTATGGTTTAATAAAAAATCCTAAGTCGCAATTATTAGTGTTCATTTTGAAAATGATTATGTTGGTCAATAACCAGCTAATAAGTACAGCCAATGCTAAGGATATTAATGCAGACTGTTATATTACAAATTACACTTTAGCTTCAAGGTATCATGGTTCTGTAGCGTAGAGGTAGGGAATGAAACCCGCAACAAAATAAGAGGGTTCGAACCTGGGCTGGGTCGGATGTTTTTAATAAACTTCTTCATATAATAGTTAAAATGCGTCCGCGGTATAAAATGAGGCTTGTTAGTTGGTAATTTTTTTTTCAAATTGACCGGTATTGCAATGCATCATAATTAGCTTGCGTCACTTATCAATTATGTAGACTCATAATTGGTATGGGCCACTTAAGAAGTTTCGTAGAGTCAAAGTTTTACTCATTCAGTTTTTCCTAATAGCGTTATCGATAATATTTTTGCTTGTGTACGCGAAGTGCAACTTTGTTTCGTTTTGCTTAGCTAGAACACTATGTGGGAATGGCCGTAGTTTGAACGCTTTTTTCAAACGTTTAAAAGGCTCCTGCTAAACGTTTAAAGCGCTCTTGTTAAACTACGGCCATTAAAACGCTCTTGAACGGATGTAGTTTAAACACTCTTTAAAAAAAATAAAAGTTAATGCTCTTTTTAAGGTTGCGAGTTGTGCCCTAATTGTTACTGCTGCAAGACTGAAAGTATTTGTGATTTGCCTTTTAAAAAAATTTAAATCAGAACTTTCATAACACTTCGTTTTCTCACGGATATTTTCTGATCACCAGATTTGCTTTTATTTTGCAAAGCAGCCAAAAAACGAAACACTACAGATAATTATCAGTTATATGAAATCAAAATGATGGGCTTAAATGTTTCAGTGAAGTGGAAAATGATGTTGTATATACTTGAGAGGTCAAGTGTCTTGTAACCGGGAACTAGGCTTTTTCCCGTAAACAACTTTTCTACAAATTTTGTAAGAAATTAACAAACACGTGAAGTTAATTTCACGTATTGTCTCGTTCAGTTTCATGAAGTTCCAAATATAACTACTCAGTCCGTATGAAGTAGTAATTAATTTCTTCAAATCATGTTTTTTTTTGGATTAGTTGTTTTCGTCGGCTAATTTTTTTTTTCAAATGTTTTTATTTTATCGGTTACCGTTTTTATTAGCTTCTTTAAGGAAGCGTGGGTTTTGTTTTGATATAAACAGTTGATTTTATAACTGAAAACTGTTCTGAACTTAACAGATTTATCAACTCTGATTTTATTTTTTTTTGTCGAATAAACGGTATCGGTTTTTGGTTTATCGGTTAAGTAAAAGGATATGTTCCGTACTTCAAAGGGAATTTAATTTCCTATGTTTTTGTATGTTTTAAGCGGTAAAGTTTTTCTGTTTTAGAAAATTATAGCCTAATTTTTTATGACTACAATATAGGTCTTAACGAGAGTGGAATTTAGTGGCCGCTCGTTAAGAAGTTCCCAGTTTTTTTGCAGGCTATCTAAAGAAATTGCTAAGAACATATGAAACTTTTTAAAAAGAAATTTAAAAACAAAAACTGTCTTTCTCAAGAAGTTTTTTCTCCTTATATATTCACTATCTTTTAATGCAAAATTTGATTTTTTTCAAAAATTTTTGTTGTTCTTTGATCTTTTCATCATCGTTAACGCAATGTTTTTGCTGTATCGCAAGTTGAACTTGCTTTATTATCGATCATCAAAAATCAGGCTCGTAAGGTGTGGGGTTCGAGTCCCGGCCTGAACTTGATTTTTTCTTCCGGCAAAAATTGATTATTCGAACTATCGCTTGTCTGCTTGTTTTGTTTTCTTAGTTGCTACATCTCGAAACTTTTTGTACTGTAAGCAATGTTCAGTGTAGTTGCATGTTTTGTTGATTAAAACACTTGTAGTTTGTAAATTTACTGTCCATGTCTTTTTTCGCCTAGAAATTTTATACAGTGGCAATGATTTCGGCTGATTATTTTCCGGTCTGCTTGTCTATTTACTTTTATCATTTGGAGCGCAGAAGTTGTTGTTTATCGTTGTTTTTACTAATTCAGTGGTTTAGAAGTTGAAAGTTCAAACGTAAACGCTCAAAACTTTTTTTGACAACCTTTTTTATGATTTTTTTTTGTTTTTGGTTCATCAGGCGTCTGTCTATGTTTTTTTCGTCAGTATATTGGTAGTTTGGCTTGCGCTGAAAGTATATTTAATCGTGCTGACAGTTTTTTTGAAATTAAAATTATCACTTTTCCAAAAAAAAATGATTTCATTTTTTTAATTAGGTTTTTCTATTCATTTTTTATTTGCTAGCTTGCAGTGCTACGCCTACGTTGTATTGCAACGGATGGGAAGCTCCGCTTGGCCTCTGTGTAATAATTTTTTGCGATTACGAAACGTCTTAGGTCATATGTTTTGTGTTTGTTTTCCTTTTGCTACCAGTAATCATATAACCGTGGTTTCTGATATTAGTGAAATTGTTCTTGCGCTTATTGCTTCAAATTGTTGTCTCCAACTTCGAAGCTACTTTTCAAACCTTGCCAAAA